GAGACAATTGTGAAAGATCTATCGCAACTTACAGACGTATATAACAACAATAAGACATGCGTTCTGTTATTCCGTAGGAAAATATATTTTAAATAAACGTACTACTATAAGTTGTTGTTGGTTTCGTTATCTTTGTTATGTCCAAAATAATAATTATAAAACCTATTTCATTCTTCAATCCTCCACCCATAAGTTAGTTTTACCTTTCAGTTATTCCTGCAGAGGCTTCGAAAAGAAACACTCATAGAAATGAGACCTGTTGGAACTAGAATGACTTGCATATTCCTCCAATTGCTTTTAGACAGGCAGCGGTTGGTTTTGCACAACGCACATTGTCAGTAATGCAAGAAAGTATCTAGCTGTGTTGTGGTCTTTTACGATTGGAAGTGACACTGATGACAATAATTTTAGTAGTGTAGTAAATGAAAGCCGGAACAGAGAGGTGAGAGACGAAGTTTGATCGTACGTGTGAGATGCTTCCATGTTTCAATACGCATGCCCAACCATGACACTTTCTCTTGAAAGACAGCCTGTGTGTCAGCCTCAGCCCGTGTACCCAACGGTTTTATGCGCGATTTTAAGCGTCAAGTGGCGAAGCTGCGAAGAACAGGCAGTGAAGTTGCGAGAGGCGTTAAACGAAAAAATAGACGGGGTTTTCCACTCGAGACTTCCCTCTCGTCTCTTTTGCTCTGTTGCCTTTATTTCCACTTGGCACCCCAAAAAACTGCCAGCTTTTGAACATGGACAGGACAAGTACAAGCTGCGGCGAGCCACACTCGACTGGCCTTCCAGGGACATATATCCATGAGTTCAGTCTCTGAACCCTCCCTTCCGCCCCCTATGCCTCATCTCGGGAAGTATTCAGCAATGTTCACCTCGCGAATACTTGGTTGAGACAAATCACCGGAGGAAATAATTTCCTAAGAGTCAGGCCGCATATGGCTAGCGCTGTAACCCTAAAGGATGAAATTCAATATGGCGCAACACACGCCGCAAAATTGACATGGTTGCAGCAGTTTTCGGCTGCAGTAAGATCACGGTTTCCTTCAAAGAAATTGCAAGTCGGTTCTGCCAATGTTGATAAGGGAAGTACTGTCGCTGTACAGGCGAATAGTTTGAGTAGCAAGGCAGTGGAGAGTTACAACAGCCACAGATACTGAGGCGGAGAGACTGTACATCGAAGATGAAGTGGGAAAATTATTCCATAAGAACAAGAACGTGAGTAAGGATTTCTCGAAGTTTCTGCCGGTATTTTGACTGTATAATATAATTTCCAGTGTTTCGGTGTCTTAGTGAGGGAATTTTGAGATGAAGTGGTTATGACTTATCGCTTCTTAAACTGAATCAAAGAACATGCTTACAAGTGCACACGTACGAAGGCCAGGCCTATCGAATCGAAATTTTAATACTGAAATTACGGAATATATGAAAATGTTTCTTAATTCTGCCTTTTTAAAATATTTCAAATGAAAAGGTCATTTCTACTTTAGAGCTTTTTGCCTTTTCCCTTGTCAGTCTACTAGCTTCAACAACGGCTTCAGTTTGGTTCGTACAATTTCATTTTCAGATGAAGTCTTTGCAAGAGACAGAATTTAGAAAATATCTATCTCCATACTGTCTCTTACAAGATTCAGTGCCTGATTATAGATCCCTTTGGTTTGTGCTGTTTGTTGTTTTTGGTTTGTATTACCTCGAACTACTAAGTGACTGGAAACTGAAAATTATTCTGATATTGCAGATCACCAACACAGAGGAGATGAAACTTTGTCTTCACCAGGCCAGTGCGCGAGTAGAGATAGTTATGTAGCAAAAAACTCTCATTACTTTGCATGCTCAGGGGCAGATCGCATGTACAACATGTAATCTTGCACAATATCACAGTGGAAAAAGGGAGCAAGGATGTTGTATTAAAAGGAGGGGCGGCCTCCCACTGCTGAGGCCCAGGTTCAATTTCTGGACCTGGTGTCACATGTGAGTGAAGCTTGTTGTTTGTTATGATCCTTGCTCCAAAAGTTTGTCTCCGAATCCTCTGGTTTTCCTCCCTCCACAAATACCAATATTCTAAATTCCGATTCTACCTGGAAACACTGGACAAAGAAAACCAACTTGTGTATAGACTACAAGCAGTCCCTCCTTTCTGGCGAAGTCCGTTATGCGAATAACAAAAATCAGTGAAAAAAGATTGACGTTTGCGCGCTGCGGTAGTTCTAATTTTGACTTCATTGCACGGCCGGAGCTCCATGAGTGAAGTGCTCAAAAAGTAGTGGTCGGCATATCAGAGTCAAAATTAGAGCTCCTTCGGCCGCGCGCTAACGTCAATTTTTTTTTTGCTGATTTTTTTTATTTGCGCAACAGGTAGTCGTCTCTGTTTAAGCAAGATGAACCTCTTAATGCAGTGATAGATTTACCTTGAACAGAATGCAGTGATGAGAATTTGACGTGGAAGTCTTTTTCCTCTTTCTTTTTTGGTTGTGTGTTACGCCTTTCTTCAGTTTAAGATCAGAGGCAAGCTTGACGCCAACAGCCTTGCTGTCATGGATTACTAAATGAAGGTATAGGTGTAATTTCGGTATCCAAAAAGTAGGTTAAGATTCATTTTTCGGTATTGGTAATATCAATAGTGAACATGCACAAATAAGCTGATGAATTTCCAGAACAAATGTGAAAACATTTCCAATAAGTAGTGACACATTCTCAGAATCAACAACATAAATGGTCATTGCCATCAGAAAAAATTTAAATTTCTAGTATCTCGATATACAGTATTGTTAAGGAACTAGAGCACATGTGTTTTCTAGACGACGAGGGCAGGCGGAAGTTTCCAGTTCTTTTCCCTAACGCTTGTTTAAGAGCTTGGTCTGTACTGTTTAGTTTAAAATGCTATAGCCATGGCTTTCTAGCTCTAACGTTAATATCGAAGCACGTCAGAAGTGTTCGAATTCTCCTTTCAGTCATTCTTCGTGTCAGTAAAAAGATCTGTGCTGAAGTTCCATCACTTTTAAGGATAGCATGGAATGTTCTGTAAAGAATCAATTAAAGAAAAGAATAAAGATTTGTTTTTGTAAAATACGTTGAGAGAATATCATTAGCATTTAAACATGTTGCGGATAGCTTTATTGTGAGCTTCTTGTGGGATTTGCAGGAGGTGGATCGTTACAGAACAGCAATGAGAAAGATAGCAGCTGATCTCCTGCATGTGCGAGAGGATTGCAAACGTTTAGAAGTGATTAGTTGTTGAGTATTAGGGACCGTCTTGTTTTAGTAAGTAAGTTTAGTATAGTAAGATAAGTTGATAATTTCAACTCGTTGTTTGCACAAGTCCAGCCCAGCAAAAACGTTGTTTTCATTTCAACCACTTATTTATGCTAGAAGGCTTGTGTGCCTCTAGGCTGCGATAAATTTTTAAATTATTAAGGGACGATAAGGTTAAAAGAAAAAGTCCCCGAATGAAGGCGTTCATTTATTCTTAAGGAATCTTACAGAAAACTTAGTGAAGAGAATATCAGACTACAGGCAGAGGTTTTGCAGTACGAGGTAGTCATAAGTTTTATTATAGTTTTTTTTAGTTTGACCTGTTTTGGGGATGCTAAACACGCGGAGGTGACACTTTTACCTTGAAAACACGCACACATTTGAAGCAGTGGGATAAAAACAAGGCCTGGATAGCGCCAAATAAACCTCTGAATGTGTTGTGATATGTCGAAAATGCCCTGTTTAGTTTGAATAACGCTCATTCTTCTAAAAACTACTTTAATATATCAGTGCTTCTTCCTAATCCTCTCTCTATCAAATGCCCTGTGCGTAATAATCGCCCCCCTTCCTCAGGGAGGCGGTCAGTGGACCCCATACCCAGAAGCGTTCTCAGCAAGGTATGAAGAGCACACAGTCACCAAAGAAATCAATCGGTTGACACTTCTAGCTCTTGGTCAATTAAATTAAGGGAATGTAAATTGTGCATTTTGTCCCATCTCATGTTCAAAACGAGGATTGTGCATTTTGCATTTCCCAGGTGCACATCAGAATGGATCAGTTTATTAAATCCCACTAAACCCATCGTCAAACTCACTCTATTTCCTGTCAATATATATATTAATATATATATATATATATATATATATATATATATATATATATATATATATAGGGAGTCTGCAAGTCGATTTTCGCGTGGAACAGTGCTCAATACGTTGAAGCAGAGCGGAATAAATATTTTAAGAGGAAAAAAGGACGCAACTACATTTTCCCGACAAGCCGGTTTCGTGAATCGCTTCACTCTTCAGGGGTCTAATGAAAGAATATTCATGTGACTATCGTGTATATACTAAGAAAAAATTACATGATACGCGGTAAACTTAAAAACTTTAAAGTTCAGCTGTTGCGTAGCAACGCTTTGTTTCTGTGTCGGCATGAAGATACGAGTTCGTTACGCTTATTTAGTGATGAGAGGTCAGTTCGGTAAATTGTCAGGAATTTTTCTTTTAGGCAGAAGTTGCATCTTTTACTGGAGCTGTTGTAGGGAGAGCTAGATGATAAGACGCGCCATGAAATAGAATAGTCAATGTTGTCGTTCTTGAGTGTCCAGATGTGTTTGCTAAGTTCGGTGGAGTTTTTGGACACATCTGGACACTCATGGCGACACAGAAACAAAGCGTTGCTACGCAACAGCTGAACTTTAAAGTTTTTAAGTTTACCTCGTATTATGTAAATTTTCCCAGTATATACACGATAGTCACATGAATATTCTTTCATTGGACCCCTGAAGAGTGAAGTGATTCACGAAACCGGCTTGTCGGTAATAAATGTAGTTGCGTCCTTTTTTCCTCTTATAATATTTATTCCGCTCTGCTTCAACGTATTGAGCACTGTTCCACGCGAAAATCGACTTGCAGACTCCCTATATATATATATATTCTACTGATCAAATAAACATGGTTTGTGTTCACTGACTTTTTCGGTGGAAAGAAAGCTACTGGATAATTTGTTTTTCTCTCGTAATCAGGAGCAGTTGAAAGCAGCCGAAGCTAAGCTGAAGAAACCAAGGTGTGTGCACTTAATTTTTCAGTACACATGCACTTTCAGTCATCTTACATCGTTCGGTAATAGTCGGCCTCCATCCACTTTTGAGAACTTTTCAGTGTTAGGTTTCCAGTCGGATTGCGGCTTCAGCTAAAGATAACGTTTTGGACCCTACTTCTAATCTTCTGGATTCGCCGACGAAAGCGGCTCTTTCATCCGTTGGGATCGTTTGTTTTTAAGAGTCAAAGTGATTAGAAAGGGAATAAATGCCTGGGAGACTGTCACGAATTTACCATGAGAACTGAACCTTTCATAAAACTACCAGTTGAGAAGGATACGTAGTGGTGACTGACTGCTTGTCTGATTTTGTTTCAGATCACCAGGAGAACAGCGAGTGGTTGGTGCAAGTGTAAGTGCGTCACTCTTGAATCAAAGGCATTTTATTACTAGTTAACTGGTTTCTTTAGCAGGGAAGTGTTCATTTAATACAAAGCTTTCACTGAGAGAGCCACGTTATGGATGTGGTTTCCAAATGTTTCGGCTGCCCATTAATTAGTGGAGAAAAACAAGTTCTTTGCAAGCGGCGTAAAGTTTCAATTGAAAATTTACAGTGAGCCCTTGGCTAAAGATGACTTTTAAGTAAGTCCAAGGTTAATACGTTGTAATTTTGCCTTGAAGATCGAGAAATCTTCTTAGCCATATACGTGGGGGTAAAAAAGGCAGATGGATGACAATTTTTGAGAGTGGAAGCCTCGATCAGTCCATGGACTTCCTATTTTGTTCACAGGACAGTAATGATTACAGTAGTATAAACACTTTTTAGTAAAGAGGTGTAGGATGAGATCTACTTATTTTTTTCATTCCAAAGGTTTTATTTTCGCCGTTGACAGAGTTCAAATGTTTTCAAAACATGGCGAAACTTGCATTGCTCAAAAGTTTAATTGAATAGTGTGTTTGCAGAATGGACCGATGTCAGACATGGAACGACTGGAACTTTTTGAAAAACTAGAGAAAGCGGAAGGACGGATTGTTGTTTTTGACAAACAGGTGAAGCACTCAGCTGCATTGTTTCACTTTTTGGAAATGTGGATGTTTACTTTATCTGACATGTCATAAGGTGGTCGAAGTTTTATTATTGAACTGCCCATTTTGTCCTTTGCTATCCTCTGCTAAGTCCAATCAGTCATTCGGGTGGGAAGACAGGAAAACTTTCCGATATACAAATGAATAAAGGGGGTCATTTTCTAAAGAAACTGTGGTGCTGCGTCGGTGGGAGAGTATAGCAGGTAATTTAGTGTTAACAACTGAGTTGAAAGCGTAAATTGGCCACCGTAAAGATTTAAAAGGCTGACGTTTCGAGCGTTTCTTGTCGCTCTGACGAAGGGCTAACGCTCGAAACGTCAGCCTTTTAACTCTTTACGATGGCCAATTTACGTTTTCAATCCAGCTGTCAACACTGAATTGTCTGTTAGACGGTCAGTCACGTTGGATGGTTGGTTGGCAGGCGGTAGGCCGTCAGACAGACAGACTGACAGACAGACAGACAAAAAGACTGACAGATAGACAGACAGACAAACACACAGACAGACAGGCAGGCAGGCAGACACAGAAAATGAATATGGTTAAAAAACTGAAAAAAACAGCGCAGAGATGTAATAAACTTAGCTCTAATATAGTTTTCTCGGTTTCCTTGCGTTGTCTCTGTAGTTGGCAGATAACGTCAGAAAATGGGCGAAGGATAAAGCCGACCTACAGGTGACTATTTTTCTTATTTTGGAGTGACAGTGTTGGCGCATTTTTTTTTCGGTCTAAGAATTCTTTTGGTCCACCATGTCTTAGTTCCCTATATCTATCAACATTTCCAGTTACCTTTCTCTTCTCTTTCCCGAGGCGTATATTGGTTTAAAATTACTATGGCTAGTATCAGTTTTGCTGATGTTCCTTCAAAAATGGAAAGGAGAAGCCAGTGATGATGTGTTGTTTGAGTAGCTTTGTGTTTTATTTACGCAGATGAAACTAAACGAAAGTCAGGTCGCTCAGAGGACAGGATACAAAAATTCGTCCACTTCTGTAGATATTCTGGACTGGGTTTGTATTAGTTTCTTTCTTCTTTTTCTCCTGGTAACTTTTGTAAGACTTCCAAGTAAGTGGTTGCAGATAAAAGAGAAAAACTTGTGTCTAAATGCTGCCTCAGATTTGTTGTGAGTGACCGTGATAGTGCTAGTATCTCACACACTTCATCCTCTTGATCTCAGCCGGAACATGAGAGCTCACTTTCTATCCTGTCTTTTTGTTCTGTCCTAACTAAGTGGCAACACACAGGAAATTTGTTTCCTTGAAGATCGGCTTGTTCTGCTGATCGATAACTAAGTTTCTTGTTATAAAACAAGAGGCGATTACCTCATGCATTTTTCTGTCTAGTTAGTATGGCTGTTTGGGTAAAACAAAACGTATAGGGGTGTATGAAAAGAGTTAAGAAAAGCCAGGGCCGAGATCCTGTGATGAGAACGTTACCTCTCTATATACTATTAAGTCTTAAACATTTAAGTAGAAAACCTTACGTTATGAAATCCAGACCTTTAGGACCAACTGTAAATCCACACCGATGTTTAGAGTTTTTATTATTCCACAGCATAATGGACCAAAGCCAAATTCACCTTCAAGACATTTGGGTCCGCGACGACCGTCACCTAAACTGGATCCTTTGGAGAGAAGATAGCATTTAGAACTTAGACAGTCTTAGTGGATGATTTCATGATCAGAGGACACTGGGCTCCAGCTAGGCAACAATTATCCCGAATGCATTGATCCTTTCTCTCTAGTCAAGATCTGAATATTAATTTTCCTGACTAAACCATGCATTCTTTGTCGAGTATTCCTCGAAATTTATTTTTATGTCTGGATAGTAATCCCCGACCTGATTTGAGGGCTTTTCAATTGAGTGTCGTATATCAAAAACCAAAGCAAGAAGAACTGCCAATCAGAATCAAAGAAACTATCGCAAAGAGGACCCAATGAGTGCTCGAGGCAAAAACAAGTAAACTGCCCGAAGAGCGGGAAAACGCAAGTCACCAAGTTGAGATTGGTGTTAGTTGTGCATCTGATTGGTTGAGAGAATGGCGCGAGTGAGCTTGACCAATCACAGAGCGACAGAAGTCGACTTTTGTGCAAGTTCATAAATAAAAGGTTTCTGAACACGATGAAAGAAAACGCCGAGGAGAGAATAACGATCAACGAAATGGTTCTTTCAGGGAACTATGTTCGACGTTGAGCATATCCGATATTTGAAAGGCGATCTTGGATCTTCAGATAGTTAGACTATGAGAGGATGTGCAAACTTATGTAAGATTTTAATGCTGAGAAGAGAGATTGATCTTTCACTTGCTATGAAAAGAAGGGCATAAATACACCTGTGCGAACATTGAAACGGTCTCAAGGCGGGCCGATATCTCGCTTTTAGGCGAATCTCTTTTGAACCGCTGAGCAGATCATAGGTTACATTTGTAGGCACGGCCTCCTTTTTCATGGTGTCTTGACAAGTGGAGGGGGACAGTGGGGCGGGAGCCCGGGAGAACAGGGGGCGGGAGAGGGCGGGAAGCGGAAGCAGAAATAAAGAAAGCAATAATATGTTGTTCATTACTGAGTACTGTTCAGTCAAAAACACTTATATAGCAAAGTTTTGAAATTTCCATTTCACATCCACCAATGCTTAAAAGAAAATTTTGGAAGCAAGGAAACGTAAGTTGGCTGGAAAAACAGCATTACTTCCGGTGAATTTGGAAATCTATTCAATTTGATTACGTCATTAGTCATGAGATAGCATGACACATGTACACTTATACTTCAGTGTCAGTGTCTGGTAAGCTGTAACTGTCGAAAATATCCAGCAAAGAAAGCGATTCAGGGTCATTCAGGTCAAATGTCGTCAAAGTCTATTTTAATCGGCTCTAGTATTTTTCAACGTGGAAACGAAATATCCGTGCATAGAAGACCTTCTTGGGAGCTTGCTCCGTACGACTGCACGTTCCAAATTACTGAATATTTTCCCTCATGATGCAAACTTGTTTCAAAGGAATGTCGCTTCAATGAGCGCGCCGGAGATTGCGGAGTGGTTCACTTTTCAACGCAGTTTTCTTTAAAGTTAACCCGGGTTTCTGATCCTCTTGATTAACCTGAAGACGGGAGCAACACAATGAAGGGTGGGAGTCGGGAGGCAAAGGGGCACAAAAGTACGGGAGGCAAGAGACTCTGACCTCCCCTGTCTTCCCCCCCCCCCACTGACAAAGCTGAATAAGGAAATGCAGCGTCACAGCTAAGTGGTCAATGACGCGGGCTCAAGCCCTTGAGGTTAAAAATTCAGCGAAATTTGAGGAGAACAATAGGTCTGGTATTTAAAACCAAGGTATTCTGTCGTAGTTGAAGGCATTTTCCTATTTCCAGTGTTTTTATGGAGAAAATTAATTTTTGAAAATATTTAGGGGGTGTACAAAGTTTTCGGAGGTTGTTCTCTAAAAGAAAAGCGAAAGGGAAACAACACCCAGAAGCAACAGATAGAAAATCGAACGTGCAAACAACTCAAAATCCGTTTTCCTCTTTTCCGCGACACAGCGGTAAAACGAGTGCCCATGCTTGAAGAGCATGCGAAAATTTACGCGCGAAAAGGAATGGGAATAACAATATTTCCATAGTAACACTATAACGGCGATATGGCGGCATTTTTAAAATTCATATCGTTTGTTTTTATTTCGCGGGGATAAGCCCTAGCCTGAACAGATAAGGTTCCCACTTTCAAGAAAGTTTCTATCGAACCTGCTCTGCAACATATCTTTTCCAAAAAGAAAATTATTCAGGGCACAGGTGTGAATTTTAGCATCGAAGTGGAGCGGTCGTAACATGGCAATGAACTTCGTAGCCCGTGTTATTGTTATAGCACTTGTTTTTATCGCCTCCTCAGTATGGCAAACCGCCCGGCGAAAAGGTTTGTTGTTTGAGAGAAAAAACACGCCATAGCTCTTCTTGTAGAGGAAGCATAATTGCCTTTAACACTGAAATAACTCAAGTGGCGGAGGTGGAACCAGGAAATGTTGTGTGAATATATTAATGGCATGTCATTATCAGCAATTCGAAAAAGGAGCAACATCTGAACGTGCCTACTACCTTCACATTCTTCCACTCTGAGTGATACACCTATTCCTAAGAGACTGTACAAACTATTTGACAAGGCTAGAGAAAGTGAGGCTTGTTATCAACCAGGGACACTGTGGTGCACACGTTGTAGGAGAAATGCTGACAAAACATTTGCCTCAAGGACCACTTTACTTCAGATAGTTATATTCAAAGGCTTTCATTTCCTGTTGGATATTCTGGGTTTACATACTTCACCCATTTACATAATACACAATAAAGCAAATGATCACCTTGTTTCCATGAGAAGATCAATAACTAACACAAAAAACATTCATGCAAAATGTAGGGGAGTGCCATACAAAATTCAGTAGGAGTACCAAAAAGATTTGACAGATGGTCAATGTGATTAACAAGCTATGGCAGTTAAATGTATGATGCAAAACATACTGCTCTACCACAATTCAATAGCTTAACAAAAAGAGTCAGGAAATTGGTGCACAGGCTGGTACATCCAATTTCCCAACATTAATCACCAGGCATAAGTAAGTACCTTACTTATGCGTTAACATAATCTAAGAAAGGTAACCAATCCACCATATTGCTAATAATCAGAGTTATGCTACGATTGTACCTGCAGGGTTAAACATCTCCACGACAACATCAATCAGGCAATAATATAAAACTAATAAAGGGTCTGCACTGTGCTCATATTTTACAAGTAAACACATGTTAATTGTTGAAAATATTTCTATATAGAAATAGAGTGGTCAAATACATTATTATTGCATTTTCTATATAATCTTGCAGAGCTGGTGGAAAAATTTCAGTCAGCCTTCTACAGGCGCTATGAGAGTGGGGGTCTATCTCTATACAGATCCAATGATATCCAGGCACTTTGTGAGACTCATTTACATCCTCATCAGTACAATAGTGAGTGCAAATAGACATGCCACCAGTGAGAGGCATTCACATTTACAGCAGCAAAGAATAGTTGTACTACTTCACATGTTGCCTTACTTTAGGTATTTACTTCAAATTACAATGTACCTGCCTAAAGTTTTGCCATTAGAAGAATAAAAAATTATTATATTTTATATAATTTACAAATTTTCATAGCAGCTTTATTCTGACAGTGTCAGCAGTCACTGGTACAAAACAACCTTTGTTCTTGAGTATGATAACAGGAATAATATGCAATTTCCCTCAGATCCCAGAAAACATCACATCTCCAAAAATAGGCTGAAATGTTCCTTGATATTCATGGGTTAACCAGGTCTGCACAGACTGCAGGGAGAGTCTTGGGCTTTAGCAGTGGAATATGTATGAATGACATGTTTAAACAGCAGCAGGCAAAACAACCATGAGGAAGTTGTGGACAAAACTGTGCTGACAGCCTGCAGGATAAAGCAGAACAAATACAACAAACAATAAACATAACCACTTTTGTAAAAACATAAGCAATCAATGAAATGGATATTAATTTTTTTTTTAAGACCAAAAAACTTGTTATCCATCTCACTGAAGATTTTCATGTTATGAATATGCATACTAAACCTACTGATAAAGCTAATGTGGCAATTCATATGGCATCAAGTCTTCCAGCCATAGCAGTTGCCCATCCAGTTGATGGAGCAATGATCCTTTTCTAACAAAAGTAAATGAGTTAGGTAATTCCTTCAATAAAGGTAAATAGAGCATGATATAAGTAGCAACATTGCAGACAGCCACAATAGTCATGAACAGCCCAAAAGCCAGCTAGCAATACATACCTCTAGGTATTAAGACTTTTACAAGTCCCATGATGGGGAAAATATGATAAGTAGAAATCTGGAACAGCTTCTTATACCACCACCAAGTGTTCCATACAGGGCAACTTTAGAAAGAGGACATAGCACAGAAAGATCTGCTTCAGTTGCAAATTCACACCAAAACCACTTTTCAACAGTGGGTAACCTTGCCACCAAAGATCTCGTGGTTCTCATCTTACCTGTCCTTACCTTTTACAATCACGCAATCAATCTCAAAAACAAACACCATCAATAGCTCAAAAACAGTTTTCTAACTTAAGTGTACCACCACAATCCACTTCAAAACATGTTCCATCTTCAACTACACAATCAGTCACATTCTGGGAACTTCCAGCCTTCCTATCTCAGTCAACAATTGGGGGTCATCAAGGCCACAATGTTTGTACAGTTATTTCTTTGTTATTAGCAAAGACAAACTCAACAAACAAATCATTCCTTCAACTGAAAAACCACCAACCACTGACTCCAAGCTGGATTCTAGCCTTCATGTCATGTATGATGGGGGGAAATCAGGCATATGACAGTTTCATGCAGTCACCATCATATCTTGGTGTTGTTGAAGCCATACCTCTAGTTAGAAGCAGCCTGGGTAGTTTGAGCTATAAAGAGGAGTTACCTGTTTGTTTTGTTGAGGAGCCTAATTCAAGTGAGGAGTCTGCTCTGAGTTTTCACCTAAGAAAAAGACTTACCAACACAAATGCTGCTTTTACAATAATTAATGGTTTAACGATTTCATTCGTAAGTGATGCAAATGACAACATCATCTTAATGCATAGCTATCTCCACTTACCAAAAGGCGCCTTTCTTGCACAGTCTCAACAGAGTGACATTGAAGAACTATCAAACTGGCTGAAGTTAAAGCTATCTGCGACGGTGAATTTGTGTACGTTTACTTTCATCAACTTCAGGTAACACTGTGTGGTAAGAAATGCATGTAAACATAAAACAACAGCGGTTGATCGTAAAGTTAGATTGACATATTTCCAGACGCAAAGAAGGTTAAGAAATGTGTCAAGTATAAATGTTATTGCATCTATTACGTTTAAATTGTGTCGGGGAAGTAATAGGGCGGTATTAGTACACTGTTACATTAAGCTTATGTCGACCAAAAGAACGTTCACTTAAGCAAAACGACCGACAGATTCAAGATTAATTTCGATTGTAAAACAGCTTTTGCTAACGCAAGAGTTAACATCGAAAAGCTTTAGTTGACCATTTCTGCAATAATTCTACTTACCCATCAGACTTTTCCATAAGAATAAACTCCATTAAAAAATTTTCCGGTCGGATCATATCAATATCAGTCCCAAAAAGTGTAAAACGATGTTCTGTTCGTTGTTGGGCAGACGTCATCCACGCTGGAATCACAAATCGCTCCTCGAAAGCGCGAAATCCGCCGAGCATGCGCACTCATTTTGCCGCTGTGTCCTTTTCTGCGCCAAAGCTTGACGCATGCGCAAATATTATTCAGCCCTGTCGGGCGATACCTGATCTTTCTGGGTACAAACAAATGCAATAAAGTACGCAAAATGGCGTCAGACGTGAATAGTCCTTTGGAATCTCCGCCGATTGCGGTATTTAGGGTATTGAGATTTATCTATTGGTGAAGGAAAACGTAGCAACAATAACCATGGCGTCTTCCAAAGCATCGAATGCCGGAAGTAGCTACAAGGAGCAGAGAGAGCAGAAGGTTCTTGATGTCATGTTTCTCTGTGACGAATGGAAATCTTCAAAGGGTGGATTATCAACTTTCAATCGAGAATTTGCCATTAATTTGGCACAAGCGACGACTGGTAGCATGAAAATCCACTGCTATGTCTCTAATAGCGATGATCGGGACAGAGAAGATGCTAAACAACATGGTGTCAATTTAATCACAGCTCGAAGTGTTCCTGGTTCAGCGGACCCCCACGAGTGTTTGAAATTTCCACCCTCGCAGCTCCCAAACCCATATCTGGTGATAGGCCATGGAAGAAAGCTGGGTATTCCTGCATATTTCCTAGCACAGTCTACAAAGTGTAAATGGATTCAATTTGTTCACGTCTACTGCGAGGACCTTGGGAAATATAAGGAACCTGCCACGGCTGGAGAAGATACAATCGAAGAGAACGAGAAGAAGCACAAGATGGAAATTGAGTTGTGTAAAGCAGCGGATGCAGTTGTCGCCGTTGGCTCCCGTCTACAACGGAAGTACAGCAGACGTCTCCTTAATGTTGAAGTGAAGATTATCACTCCTGGGATCTTTGGAAAGTTTTCCAATGAATCAAAGTTGGCTGTAGACAGATCGGTAGTAAAGAATTTTAATGTGTCTTTGTTTGGCCGAGCTGCCTTTGAGGATCTTTCCCTGAAAGGCTATGATGTAGTTGCAAATGCCATTGGTTCTCTTGGTAAGAACTTTGAGTTAACATTTGTTGGCTCATCTCCCGGTGAACAACGAAAGGTTGAGCAATGGTTTCTTGACAATACGTGCATCAACCGCAACCAGCTAACCATCCGTCGATATTGCAGTGAACAAGAAGAACTCAAGATGATGTTCTATCAATCAGATTTGGTTGCTCTGCCATCCCGTACCGAAGGATTTGGGCTTTCTGCCCTTGAGGCCATTTCTGCTGGTGTTCCTGTACTTGTCTCTGGCGAATCTGGCATAGCTGAGGCTTTGCAAAAAGTAGAAGGTGGAAGCACTGTCATTGTTGGATCAGGTGAAGATAAAGATGAATGGGCACAAAGGATTAGAGAGATGTATGAAGAAAGTGCAGAAGAGAGAGAAGTCAATGCCGTGAAGCTTCGCGAGAACTACAGGAAGGTTTACTCTTGGAAAGCAGAATGTGAGAGGTTTAAAGGGCTGATTGAAAATATTGTGAAAACTGCAAATGGTGAGCCTACTTCTTTTAATTTTTCTTATTTTTCAGTACATTTGCTGAAATGTTATGCTACATGTACGAAGCTAAACCATATGAGTAGACTGAGCCACAGAAGATAAACTGAATACTAGTACATGAATAATATAAGCACAAAAACAGGTAAAGTGCTCCTGTATGTCCTGAGTTGTTACATTTATCTAAACCTGTGGTTGTACTACAAGTGCATTGTCTTCTTGAGTTTTTTTTTTCTATGTTAAAAAGAGTGGTAAGTATTTTGCACTAATCAGATTGCTGCTTAAGAATCCGTATCTCACACCAATCAGAGTGCTGCATCAGGGTATTTATCTTGCACCAATCAGATTGCTGCATAAGGGTATATATATCTTACACCAATCATATCACAGTATTTGAATACCTTGCACCAATCACAGTGTTTGGGTATTGTTTTTGATGTCATGGAATCTAGGGGCTAGGTGCAAAGAATGGCATCAACCATTTAGGGCCTATTTGACAAGTGTAATGATTTGTGGCCTTTGCAAGTGCCTCATAGATTAAGGTTGAAATTCATCAAGATATGAAAGGTTCGCATTTAACTTTTTGTATGAAGGAGAATCAGAGGTGGAATCCTTCACCTCTGATTCTGAAGAAGAACCAGAAGAGATACGCATGAAACTTCAAATTATGAAAGGTGAATGAAAAAATGCTGTTAAATTGACTTTGATGGTAAAACTAAACCAAGAATGCTTTTAAATACATGTAGTTCTCATTCAAAATATTTTTTTGGAAAGGAAATTACACCCAATGTAGTTTTCCGTCACTCTGTGTTTTGCTATAAGAGAATATTAAGATAGTAGAGGCTAGGTTGGTGAAACAGTGTTTAATGATAGACTTAGTTTTTTCAGTGTTGATCTTAAATTATGCCTTAAAAAACTGACTGTGATGTAGTTTAGATAGATTTTGTACATCAAATACAATCAGTTAATGGCATGTTGGTTTGACCTGTTATCATGTTGCTATTAAAAGTAACACCATGAATTCCTCTTTGTACTTTTCCCCTTAAGGTTGACTCCCATTACTGTGGACACCCTCGGGGGGAGATTTAGTGTCTGTAGTATGATTTGAGGTGTGTTGTATGGTTATGAATGTCAGTATTTAGTGGTTGCCTCATTATTTGTTTTCTTTTAAATCTGATTTTAGGTGCCTCATCTTCTGAATTCCACTCAATAAGTTCAACCAGTGAAAGTCTACAAAATCAAGAAGAGCTGAAAAAATGGAAACAGAAGACAAAGATTGTTGAGACAGAGAAACTGAAAGGTGAAAACAAAATTAAAAGACGTATTAAGTTGTTAAGGAAAGTTGTTGTGAACAGTAATAACAATTTATTATTTGACAAAGCTTTGAAGAATTATCTCAATGCAGTAATGTGACATTGGTATTATTTTAGTAAAAAACTTATAGGAAAAGCACAGGGAAGGAAAGGTGAACAGGAAGCTCAGTTTGAATTGATTTCTAAAGTGGATATATTCCGTGTGTTCAGCTATAATGTCAAGTGTGAAGAAGTGTGCTTTTGGGATTAAACATTTAAGGTTGCTAGGGTCTATAGGGTAAAACTAGACTGATAATTATTTGAAATACTCTCAGTTCTTCATTAAAAAGATTAATTTGAAAGAAATTAAAACCCAATTTAGTTTTCCCTAAATTTTGTATTTAAGATAAATTTCATGCACTTTATAGAGATGGTCACATGACTTACTGTATGTGTGTATTTGAAATGGATGTTTTGAAGAGCTTTTTTAAATCTATCCTTATAGCTACAAGTTGGTATGCTTGTTTTTAACTATTTATCAGTAGCAATGCTAATCTCTCCATGTATAACTTTGTTTTTAGGCATGTTGCCTCTCCCTGGTTCTTCCACCTCTGATCCTGAAAAAGAACTAGAAGAGCAACAAATGAAACTTCAAAGAATGGAAGGTGAGTAAAAGATGCTGTTAAATTAACTTTAATGGTAAAACTAAACTAAGCATGCTTTTAAATACAAGTAGTTCTCATTCAAAATATTTTTTTTGAAAGGAAATTACACCCAATGTAGTTTTCTGTCACTCTGTGTTTTGCTATAAAAGGATGTTAAGATAGTAGAGGCGAAGTTGGTGAAACAGTGTTTAATGATAAACTAAGTTTTTTCAGTGTTGATCTTAAATTATGCCTTAAAAAACTGACAATGGTGTAGTTTAGATAGATTTTGTACACAGTATGTAATCTGTTAATTACATGTTGGTTTGACCTGTTATCATGTTGCTATTAAAAGTAACACCATGAATTCCTCTTTGTACTTTTCCCCTTAAGGTTGACTCCCATTACTGTGGACACCCTCAGGGGGAGATTTAGTGTCTGTAATAGCAAAAAGTTTGTAATAATGGGGTACAAGAGAAATAAACATTTGTTTTGTTTCTTAACATATGAAATAAAGTTTCCACAGACCAGAAAAAGATCTGGCCGTAAGCAGAAAATTTCATATGTTTACACCCAATTGAAGAGTGGTTTCTTTATTTCCCTTTTTCATAATGTTGGTTCATAGTATGCTAGTCATGATTTTGAACAAAGTAAATAAGTGTCTGTTATAGCAAGAGAAAAAATAAGTGAAAAGTCATACTGGGGGGCAGGAAAGAGTCTGCATTATTGCAATAGCAAGAGTCTGTTATAGAGGGAATTTATTTCAGTCATTTCTGTATGTGTTTCTCCAGGGGCTGGCTCTTGTCTACAGTGGCAAGGTGTCTGTAATAGTGAGGTGACCACAGGGCTAGAGTCAATAGTAGATTAATCCAAATTTGGCATTGTTTCATTCTCTACTTTAGCTAAAGATGGTATTGAGTTGGCATGCAGTAAAAATACATAATGGTTGTTTTCAACAATGATCATTGGAGTTATAATAGAGAACTAAGACTATTTTACTGTAGCATGACTATAATTTGCTGTTTGCACAGGTGTACCTGTTGTTATCTTTTCTGTGTTAAATTAGCCACTGAATTTTGAAAAGCTCTGTATACCTTTGCTCCCAGGTTCTTCATCTCCCCCTCTTCTTCCAACCACTGATTTTGAAGAAAAGCTGGGGAGAGTATGTGAGGACCTTAAGATGCTTAGAGTGGAAGGTGAATTAAAACGTTCATTTCTTATCATTTTTAGGGAGATACTAAACTAGGAATGCCATTAAATGTCCATAAAATTTGCTTAGGTTTAAAATGAGCTAACATATTAAATAGGTAAAAACCAAACATTTGTGACACTTGGTCATCATCAGGGTGATGATGACCTAATGTTGAATATGTTTGGTTTTTATTACTCTTTTTTAATATTTTAGCCATATAAATAGCTCAATACCTTTGAATATTTTCACCTTCTTTTTTTTGAAATTATTCCATATCTGAGATGTTAATTTTTTTCTGTCTTTATTTTCATCCAAGAATACTGTTAAATGCTCTCAGCTTTTATTTAGTAACTTAGTTTAGTTAAGGAACATATTTTCAATTCAGTTTTGCCACTTAATCCATAGTTTCAGTCAAAGGTAAAATTGAATTGGCTGTGGCATGTGATAATGAAACAATACTTAAAGATAGCTAATTTCATTGTTCTCTCCCTTGACCTCAATACATGTTATTATGCCTTTACTTTTTATATCAGGTGTGGCACTTAGTGCTAAATATATTTCTGTGTACCTTTGCTCTCAGGTGGTTTTCCTGTCCTTCAATTTTCAACTGTTGATCTTGAGGAAAAACTAGATGAACTATGCATGGATTTTCAGAGGCTCAGAATGGAAGGTGAATATAAAATGTTTATTGATTCATTATCAGAGAGAAATAAATCCAAGAATGCTATTAAAGGCTTTCACCCCTGTATCAAAATATCACTTTTCAAGGAGAAATTGTTCCTTATTTTAAGGAACATTTTATCTGATTTTATTATTATTGATGAATGCTTTCACTTCTTATTCTAATTATGTACATTTTCACAGGAAACTTTTCCTTAGTAAAGATAACCCTGCTTCCTTTATAGTTAATTAGTGAGGTTGCTGTCCTATACTTTCAGGTATTATGTAAAGTGTTAGCTTTAATATGAATTTTTTCTTAATTTGTTCTTCCTTATTCTGTGCTGTGGCAAAAGGGAGTATTAAGTTGGGCTGTGGCTAATAATGATGAAACAGTTTTTCTTAATGGTTGATTTCAACAATGACCATAGGAGATTAATCAGAAAACTGAAACAATAACTGTGCTATCACATGACCCTAACACAATGTGTAGTGTGAGTCTAATGCCTGTTTTAACCATTTATGTAAGGTAAGGTGCTGAATGCTAAATAAAGTGTATCTTACTGTTTACCTTTCCTTTCAGGTACTTTGCCTCCTCCTCAACTCTTTACTACTGATCTTGAAGATGAACTTAAAGGACTATGTTCAGAACTTAACAGAGTCAGAATGAAAGGTGAGTGAAGCATGTGTATTGGCTTCGTTGAACAGGGCAAAAGAAATATGGAAAGTGAGTGCAAGGAAATGGTTGCACCAGTATTTTAGGCTTTTTTAAGTAAAAAGCTGAAAGGTTTTAGTTTTTCATACAGGACACCTAATTGTATTTTATTGTATAAATACTGATGAAATGCCAGGATTTTTTCTTTTACTAAAAATTCATATCTTCATTGCGCGCAGTGAAATGCTATTTTTATCTTTCTCGTGTGAGGATATTGGTGTCGCCATGGTTACTAACATGATTAGCCAATTACAAGAGAGCTTCCCGCTCAGGCACGCGGCCGGTTCTTTTGCTGTTGTAGAATTTTTCTCTTCTTCATTAGAATTTTGACTTTTTTGGAACAGAAAATATAAATATTATTGTCTTTATTTCTCCTTTATAACTTTATATCCCAGTTTCATAACATTTTTATGACAGGCATTTTGCGATAGGTGACCACTTTAATTGCACTATTTTGCTGTTTCGAAAATGAATTTAAAAAAAATTGTTTTTTTTTGTAGGAATTTCATCTGTATCTTTAGAATAAACAGAGCATTACATGGCCGCTCGGGGATACGAATTTTATCTTCTCGTGCTGAAAGTATCTCTCACGAGTGAGAGAAGCGATTCGTATCTCCAAGCGGCCATGTAGTATCCTCTATATCTTCTCTTAAATATCTAAGCCCTGCATCCAACTTACAAAACATCTGCGCCAATCATTACATGTTAAAACATGGAATGGTGTGTATCTACTCCATATTTAAGATAAACCCCTCCTCTTATATAATGCTTTCAACCAAGAATGCTGTTAAATTCTCTAAACCATTTTGCTGTTTACTTCTTCTCTCAGGTAGCTCACATCCCCTTGTTTCCACCATTGAAGTAGAACTCGGCGAACTACTCAAGCAACTTCGGAAATGGAGGAAGGAAGGTGAATAAATAATGCACATTAGACAGAAAATAAGTTGAATGGTATTAAAATACTTCCAGTTCCTTGTAGAATTACATTACCGCTCGCGTATACGTTAACCGAAAAAGGGAAAAATAAAACGCATGCAATTGCGAATAAAAAAATGTGCGCGTTAAAAAATCGCACGTGCGCGCATAAGCTTGATACGTCTGCCTCAGTAGTATATACGAGGTGGTCCTTTTGTTTTTCTATTGTTGGCGGTTTACCGTTTTAAAGAATAGACTACGATGTAATAGCACTAAAATACAATACGGCTACCAACGACAAGCAAACTTGTTCGTTTCAATCACCGTTCTAACCGACCTTCCCGATATGCCGTTACAAACTACTGCGACTTCGTAATCGGAATATATTATTTTATCAAAATAGCTCTTTGTCACTCGGTTAAAAAAAAAAAAACATCCGTCACAACGGCTTGGGAATTCAAAATAAATTTACCCTCAGTGTATCTTAATTAGAATCAGTAGAAGAATCGGCTAAGACGTCCGTTTGTAACCAGTTGTCGCATTCTTAATGGAAACCCACGCGCGAATGTTTATTCCATAGCTTTATCATCGGTGAACATGCTGTTCTCGAAAACCGGTTCGTTCATCGCGCCATTTAGACAAAGACTAATAAGTTCTACTAGCTTATTTTAATGGTGTTGTGTTACAGTAAGGTTACCTGTCACGACTATGTCTTGTTCTTACTCCTAAGCAAATTTTTATCAGAAACAGGATTTGCTTCTTGTTTTAATATTTGTTAAATCATCGATGTTCACCAAATTGCTCGAAAAAGGGAAGGGAAACATTAAATGGATCATGCCTAAAAGTACACACGAGTGACCACGAGTGACCACGAATGACCACGAGTGACTATGAATGACCACGAGTGACCACGAGTGACCACGAATGACCACGAGTGACTACGAATGACCACGGGTAAAAAAGCGAAAAAAAATTAAAAAATAATTGATTAGATGAGAAAAATATTACCGTTAATTTTATGGGAAATATTAAAGGAAAAAGAACTGTAGGGCTGATCTAGACAACCAAAAAAAGTATTTTAAGCTTTCTGAATGACTAATGAAAAATTTGTATTTAATATAATTCATACATTAATATAATAAATAGATCCTTAAAACATTGTCAAAGGTTATTTATTTCGGCAAAACGATACGATTGCGTTACTTCAGTCGACGGCCTAAAGGTCAAACTATGAATGAAGCGCTGACAACTAGACTTCACTTATTACAGAATACAAGGAAATTTAGATCTTGTCATGAGCTGTCATAAAAACACGTGTCATGCACCGTCAATAAATGATTCGAAAAACGGGAACATCGGAGCATTTATCTTTTTTCCTTTTATTCGGGGTTTTTATTGAATGAGGGCTACAGTTCTTTTTCCTTTAATATTTCCCATTAAATTGACTGCAATATTTTTCTTATTATTGTTTTTTTTGGTTAATGATTAACTTTTTCCCGCTTTTTCACTCGTGGTCATTCGTGGTCACTCGTGGTCACTCGTGGTCACTCGTGGTCACTCGTGCGTACTTTTAGACATGATCGTCAAAGTTGCAATTATTTATTGTTTGTCAAGTCGGTTTTCACATGCTGTGCGACTTTTTATGCCGCGACTAAAACTCATGGAAAATTTAGCATAGTAAAAGGTATTTAAACAGGTTTACAACGCGAAAACGCAGCCATCTTTCATGCATAATTGTTCATTCTTATTCATACCACTCAGTAAAAGAAAAAAAAATTAACATTTAATTTTAGTCACGCGCGTTATCATTATTGGGATGAATGTGCCAAGTGCTTGAGAATCTTTGTTCAAACAGTTCGCGCAACATTCCTTAACATCCGTTCCGTTTTTTAGGATTTGGGGTCATTTTCCGCCGTTCT